CGAGCATTGTAGGCTTCACCTTGGTCGAGATGGAAGGAAGCATTCAAGTGCCGCGGTAATGAAGCGAATATTGAGATTGCGTCATTTGTGCAAGCGTAGAAGATTAAAGTGCTCGTATTTTCCCCGTTATAAATAGCTCTCGTAAATGGATCTTTTTTTTTCTGCGCTTCGACGAATATTCGCTATATCAAGAAAAAAAAAGAGAGAGAGAGAGAGAGAGAGACACATGGCATTATATGTAAAATAATTTTCTAACTCATGCTCGTTTCCAATTGAGGTCTCTCTCTCGCTGTTCGATGACTAACAACTCTAGTACACGTAACCGTACGTGGTATTTAAAATTATTAATCACCTGAAAATAGGAGGTAATTTTCCAAACGTTGCGGCTTATCTTCTATTATTAAAAGCATTTTAAACATTCCCGCAGATAACATTATCGGTCGGAAACAGATTAAAACTCGGCAACGATCCACCGGGTAAGTCCATCAATTTACCAGGCTACGCGGTCAATTTTCTATTTTTTTTTTTTCTTTTTTCTTTTCTTCCTTGCCTTGTTGAATTATTTACAGCAACGATTAATTAACTGCGTTCTACACGTAGGCCTTCATTACGCTTCCACGTTGATTCCACTCGTTTGATGAACGATCACTCACAAATTGGAGGAAACTTCGTGCTTCGTATACTTAAAGCTTACACTTTCATTATCTGTTCTCATAAATATCCTCTTATCTAGCGGCGAGAATCGCTAATACGCTGGTTCCACATGCGAGAAACATGTCCATTAGGGAATTAATAAACGTTCTAAGGCTCTCCCTCTCTCTCTCCTTGTTATCGAATGGGGGAATAAATCATCGTGGACAATCGCCGCGGCCTTGAGGAATCTTCCCCAATTACAAATGCCGCGTTACGTAACTCGTGCTTATCGCCGATGAACAACAAAAGAGGCGATCCGATCTTAACAGGCCCATTGTTGCTCGAATAATGACTTCTGCGACGAGCAGCGTAATTCGAATACGAGACGTACACACGTTATAGGAAACGTCCGTAAAATGTAATTCCACTTCAGCTCTCCGCTTTCAATCCGTCCACCTTGCATCCCCATTGATATTCGACATTTATTTCTGCAAATTCCTCGAAATCACTCTGCCCATAATTTCGTGAAACGAGAGAAACTGCGCTCAGACCCAGTTGAAGCTCGAAATCTCCACTTTTCCTTTGGAATGCTTTCTTTCCAATCTACGATGGCAAATTGACGTCTTTTCATTTGCAGAATTTTGCGCCGCATCGTTGAACCTTGAATTTTAGAATCGTATGACGAAAGTTCGAGTGATGGTAACACATTCAATGTTCGATAAAATGAATCACACGTCGTTGCAAATTAGAGGCTTCGATCTTCAAGTCCGCGATGGATTCGGTTGTGAAAGAAATTTTTCAACTTATAATTTCTAAATAATGTTAACGTCGTTTAAACGACAAAACAAATATCGTTGACAATTTAAATGTTACAGAAAAATCTCGGAATAAGATGAACAGCGTGTTTTCGAAGCTCGAAATAGTCAGCGCGATTTCTTTTTTCACAAAATTACAATAACTTCGATATTTACGTTAATATTTATGAGATATGTATCGCTGTATATATCTACTTAATACCGGATCGTATCGTGCATTTAGAAGTTAAGTTCGAGTGAAAAATTATAACGAGCCAACATGTAGATGGAAATATGTGTGCCTTTTTTTTTCTCTCGGTATTATAATTCTAGCTTAGAAGTTAGGTCTCGTCGAATCAAAACAGAACGTTCTACCGCACGATAGTAAAAAAATTCCGAGAACTATTTTCATGAATGTATCATTGTTTGAAACGACGTTTGCTTACGTAAGTTTACGCAATGAACGATCGCGTGATGAAATCGCGCGGCCGGATTTGTGTAGCCCGATATAAAAAAGAGAGAGAGAAAGAGAGAGAGAGAGAGAGAGAGAAAGGTCTTTGAAACAGAGTATCTCGACAGGCTGGAATTTAACAATTCCATTATCTATTTTGAAAATACCTCGCCTCGTCGTTCTGCAAAACGATGAATATTAAATGGCGACGAGATTGACTCGCGTCCGCGATCGTAACAGAACGATCGAACCTTTTTCTTTTTTATCTGCCAGCGAATTAAAAAAGAAAAAAAAAAA